TATGCAAAACTGTATTTTTTGTCAAAACTTATAATAATACATCTAAGTGGTCCGTATATAAGTACGGGCCACTCAGTTTTACACGCCATGTTTCAGCCCCGCTCCTGTGCCAGGTAAGTCCATTACGGGCTCACCATAGCCCGTGCTACTTGGAACTTTTAGCTCCCAGTAGCTGAATCTTTAAGTGTATAAGTGGCCCGTTTTTGTCCAAATCATCGAAATAATCTCATCATTTAGATGATGTGGCTCATCGAGGAGGTGAAGAGCACATGTTGTCATCACGTAACATTATTCATCACAGTGAGGCTGGCCAACCTCCCCCCCCCCTGGCCAACCTCCCCCCCCCTGGCCAACCTCACCCCCCCTGGCCAACCTCCCCCCCCCCTCCTCATGCTTACCACCTCTGAGGATCAGGTGACAAGTGTTGTGAAAGCTGGTGCCAGATGACCAAACCTGCACCACCACCATCATCGCTTTGCTTCTCAGCACAATCTTATCACTGAGCTTCAGAGTCACTGCTACTTTGTTGACCAGACCACACACTAGACGGTGAAGGGACGACGACGTTTCGGTCCGTCCTGGACCATTCTCAAGTCGATTGTGAATGACAGTCGACTTGAGGACTGGTCGACTTTGGTCCAGGACGGACCAAAAAGCCGGTCGGCCGAGCGGACAGCACGCGGGACTTGTGATCCTGTGGTTCTGGGTTCGATCCCAGCCGCCGGCGAGAAACAATGGGCAGAGTTTCTTTCACCCTATGCCCCTGTTACCTAGCAGTAAAATAGGTACCTGGGTGTTAGTCAGCTGTCACGGGCTGCTTCCTGGGGGTGGAGGCCTGGTCGAGGACCGGGCCGCGGGGACACTAAAGCCCCGAAATCATCTCAAGATAACCTCAAGATAACCCGGACTCTGCGTCAATGGTAGGAAATGTATATGTTTATCTCTCAGAATGTTTGGTAATATGTTTATTGCTTCTTGAGGTTATCTTGAGATGATTTCGGGGCTTTAGTGTCCCCGCGGCCCGGTCCTCGACCAGGCCTCCACCCCCAGGAAGCAGCCCGTGACGGCTGATTAACACCCAGGTACCTATTTTACTGCTAGGTAACAGGGTGAAAGAAACTCTGCCCATTGTTTCTCGCCGGCGCCTGGGATCGAACCCAGGACCACAGGATTACAAGTCCAGCGTGCTGTCCGCTCGGCCGACCGGCTCCCTTGTGATGTGTGATGTGTATCTATGTATGTATTAACACGATGTACTGAACGAGGTGAGAATAGCTTGAGCTACCTCATCCCTTTGTGTGTATTTTACCTCAATAAACTTATTTCAATTTCAATTTCAATGTGTCAATGGTAGACAATGGTGGCTCGCCGAGGCTGCAGCACTGTGGTGGTGGTGCTCTCGGTCGTGTAGTTGCAAGAGCAACCATTGCAGGAGCACGAGTTACTTTGTGGTGTAAACGTCCTTATCTGTATTGGGGCTCCCAGTGTGGTTCCTTCAAGTGTCTGAGTTGGAGCTGGTGTGTGTGTGTGTGTGTGTGTGTGTGTGTGTGTGTGTGTGTGTGTGTGTGTGTGTGTGTGTGTGTGTGTGTGTGTGTGTGTGTGTGTGTGTGTGTACGTGTACTCACCTAGTTGTACTCACCTAGTTGTGTTTGCGGAGGTTGAGCTCTGGCTCTTTGGTCCCGCCTCTCAACCGTCAATCAACTGGTGTACAGATTCCTGAGCCTATCGGGCTCTGTCATATCTACACTTGAAACTGTGTATGGAGTCAGCCTCCACCACATCACCCCCCTAATGCATTCCATTTGTCAACCACTCTGACACTAAAAAAGTTCTGTACACACCTGTGTGTGTGTGTGTGTGTGTGTGTGTGTGTGTGTGTGTGTGTGTGTGTGTGTGTGTGTGTGTGTGTGTGTGTGTGTGTGTGTGTGTGCGTGTGCTTGTGTGTGTGTGTACCACTATCTACCCCTCGCTCGGCTGTTTCTAGCTTAGAATAACACTGTTTTCATCTACTTTGTCAATTCCTATTAAACTGTCTTCCCTTCATCCTGTACTGCTCCTCATGGCTTTGTGTTTGCGTTCGTGAGTGCGTTTGCGTGCGTGTGTGCGAGACGAAGTGCGACAACAAGAGAGAGGTGGCTCTGGTGACGTCAGAGCTGGCCCTCTATTCTTCAAGATACTGTGTATCACTGTGGCACTGTTGGGGGGTGGGGGTGGCAGTGATGGGAGGGGGGGGGTGATGGTGGCACTGTTCCACAAAGCTGTGTGTGAACTGGCACTACGGGACACCACCCTCAGCACACGAGACACTGTCCAGGTGTCAGTGTGTCACTACGTGTGACTGTGAGAGTGCCAGGGTGTCACTGCGTGTGAGTGTGCCAGTGTAAGACCTTCCTGGGTGCTAGCGAGTGCCAGTATGTGCTAATGGGTGCCACTGTGAAAGCCAGTGTGCCAGTGTGAGTGCCAGTGAGGACCAGTGTGAGTGCCAGTGAGGACCAGTGTGAGTGCCAGTGAGTACCAGTGTGAGTGCCAGTGAGGACCAGTGTGAGTGCCAGTGAGGACCAGTGTGAGTGCCAGTGAGGACCAGTGTGAGTGCCAGTGTACCAATGTGTCAGTGTGTGCCAGTATCAGTGTGAGTGCCAGGGAGCAGTGACGAGGGTGCCACACGTGGCTCATAACGTCGCCTTATTACAAAATCAGCTGTGGTGAGAGCCTGGTCTTTCCATCAGCCTAGTGTGAGGTGCCTCCCTCCCTCCCACGGTACCTCCATCACCCCCCCCCTCCACCTTCTCCCTCACTCCCTCACTTCCTCATTCCCCCATCACCCAAGTACACCCATATAAGGCTCTGCTCCGGCCCCCATCTCTAATACCCACAAGTACCGCTACACACCTTCAAAGAATACTAACAAGCAATAACTATTAGAAGTGCAAAACAAGGTACTAAGAACGGGTAGGACAACTACCATCCACCATCGGCCCCAAACACTCCAGGAGTTGGTCCAAGCTCTGAACAAACAACATTGAAACATCAGCCCAGAACAGCAAGCCACCAGGGCCGTGGAACACTTTCGAAAGAACAAATCCACAAGGGCCGTGACGAGGATTCGAACCTGCGTCCAGGAGCATCCCAGACACTGCCTTAATCGACTGAGCTACGACAGGGTTAAAGGGTTGAAACCGAAGTGCTACTGAACTTACTGGATCCCGTAGCCTCTCCGAGGCACTTTAAACACTTTCGAAATATTCAGCCCTCAGTGCAAGAAACATTACCTCAAGAAGCGGTAATGTTCCCCCACCAGGTGTGGGGGCGCCGCTCCCCCACACCTGGTGGCCCAAGGAGCCTCGATCTCTACTCGAGAAACACATAATTCCAAAATAAACAAAATATCGACCAGACAACTAACAGGGAAATAACCGACCCAAACATTCGCGCCAGGCGAACCAACAAGGGAGTCTGAATATACACATTTGTAGCGAATATATATATAAGAATGTTTCACTAAGTATTCATCTTTTGTACATCTACGCATGCTGATATATATATTTAAATATATATATGGCCAGAAAGAACAAGTTTAGCTTACCTACTCAACACACACACACACACATGGTGCCAGCAAGGCGGACTGGCCGTCTTTATAACAACAGAGGATTGATTGATGAAGATTAAGCCACCGAAGAGGTGGCACGGGCATGAATAACCCGTAATCAACACACAAACACACAGTCATCTGCCCAGTAATACCAACCTGTGCGCGTTAGTGTTTTTTCCCGCCAATTACCAGGAAGCCAAGCGTGTGCTGCTACTGACGCAGGCCTCGCCAGGGGCTTCAGTAGCACAAGTCTTACAGCAGACTGGAATCGCCACTTGCCTATAAGCACTTACCTATTAGTGTCTACGGGGGAGTGAGGTCTAGCTCTCTTATATACGTCCCCGCCTACCAGCCTTGTCGTACCTGCTGAGAAGCTAACTGCTATAGACTCAAATTCTTTGCCGAATCAGGCATTACAAAAAGTTGTGGATGGAGGCGGCTTTTCCGACTTAACCCAATCACACACACACACACACACACACACACACACACACACACACACACACACACACACACACACACACACACACACACACACACACACTGTACAATGTGTGTAAATCACGAAAAATAAACACGTGATTAAAAATGTGACAGTGTCAGACCACGGAGGAAAATTGAAAAATGAATTTCCTTAAGTACTTTCGTATATTAATACTCCTTGACTCCTCCTGAAGATATATTAATATACGAAAGTACTTAAGGAAATTCCTGTTTCAATTTTCCTCCATAGTCTGACACTGTCACACACTGTATCATGTATGCTACAGTATCTAGTTCCAGATTATACCCGACTGGAAGTACCTGACTGGAAACCGGGTTGCAGGTATACACATGGGTTCAAGCGTAGGACAGACAAATACATTACTGAACAAATTCACAAGGGCCGTGACGAGGATTCGAACCTGCGTCCGGGAGCATCCCAGACACTGCCTTAATCGACTGAGCTACGACAGGGTAAAAGGGTTGAAACCGAAGTTCTACTGAACTTACTGGATCCCGTAGCCTCTCCGAGGCACAAACCAGGCTTCAAACCTGTCGTAGCTCAGTCGATTAAGGCAATGTCTGGGATGCTCCCGGACGCAGGTTCGAATCCTCGTCACGGGAGGATTTGGAGGGAGGGAGCCGGTCGGCCGAGCGGACAGCATGCTGGACTTGTGATCCTGTGGTCCTGGGTTCGATCCCAGCCGCCGGCGAGAAACAATGGGCATAGTTTCTTTCACCCTATGCCCCTGTTACCTAGCAGGAAAATAGGTACCTGGGTGTTAGTCAGCTGTCACGGGCTGCTTCCTGGGAGTGGAGGGAGTGGAGGCCTGGCCGAGGGCCGCGGGGACACTAAAAAGCCCCGAAATCATCTCAAGATAACCTCAAGATAACCGTCTGGAGAACATGAGATGGTTATACTCACCGAGCATTGATGGAGACGGAGGGGGATGAGGAGCCCCCTGTTGTCCCCCTCTCCGACCTGCTCTGCTCGGGCGACGAGGACGACGACGTGGACGACTTGTCCTTGAAGATGGGCGACTGTTGGAGGATCTGCGAGGCGTCCATCTCCAAGGTGACACAGGACCTGGTGTGGACTGTCCGAGAGGTCCTCACCAGGCCGTCGGCGGAGTCTGAGGAGGACGAGGACTCGCTGGTGTCATGGCGGGAGACCTCGACGGCGTCTTCAGGCGCCTCCTGTTGGTCCAAGTCGCGCAGCTCCACCATGCTCCGGCTGTAAGACAAGACGTTGTTATATACTGATAGTTTCTTCAGTGGTTGGGCACCCAACCACTTGGGCTGGACGGTAGAGCGACGGTCTCGCTTCATGCAGGTCGACGTTCAATCCCCCGACCGTCCAAGTGGTTGGGCACCATTCCTTTCCCCGTCCCATGTGCACACACAAGCAGGCATACAGGTACACACACGCGCGCGCACACACACACACACACGTCGCTGGAAGGCAGAAGAGCTCTGAGAGACATGATCACCACATACAAAATTCTCAGGGGAACTGACAGGGTGGACAAGGATGGATTATTTAACACGGGTGGTACACGCACAAGGGGACACAGGAGGAAGCTGAGTACCCTAATGAGCCACGGAGACATTAGAAAGAGCTTTTTCAGTGTCAGAGTAGTTAGTAAATGCATTAATTAATTAATGTAAATAATTAGCATTAGGAAGTGATGTGGTGGAGGCTGACTCCATACACAGTTTCAAATGTAGATATGATAAAGCCCAATAGGCTCAGGAACCTGTACACCTGTTGATTGACAGTTGAGAGGCGGGACCAAAGAGCCAGAGCTCAACCAGGTGGTACACACAAGCATGCATACGAGTACCTGTGTCTAATAATACATAAATGCTCTCCCAGAAGGAATTAATAGACTCGTTCCTCTCATTGTTTGCTGATGATTCAAAAATTATGAGGAGGATTAAAACAGAGGAAGATAGTAGGAGGCTACCAGATGACCTGGACAAACTGAAGGAATGGTTCAACAAATGGCTACTAAAGTTCAACCCGAGTAAATGTAAGGTAATAAAACTAGGCGGTGGCAACAGGAGGCCAGACACAGGATACCGGATAGGAGATGAAGTCCAACATGAAACGGACAGAGAAAAAGATCTAGGGGTTGATATCACACCAAACCTGTCTCCTGAAGCCCACATCAAAACAATACTATCAGCGGCGTATGCAAGGCTGTCGAACGTCAGAACTGCCTTCGGGAACCCGTGTAAGGAATCCTTCACAACCTTGTAACCGCAACACAAATCCACGCCATCCTGTACAGTGTTTACAACACTGCCACACCTGACTGCTCATCTGCAGGAAGACTCACACACCTTAGTCACATGTACGACCTTCTCATCACCCTGGTGGATACGACCTTCTCATCACCCTGGTGGATACGACCTTCTCATCACCCTGGTGGATACGACCTCATCACCCTGGTGGATACGACCTCATCATCACCTTGGTGGATACGACCTCATCATCACCCTGGTGGATACGACCTCATCATCACCCTGGTGGATACGACCTTCTCATCACCCTGGTGGATACGACCTTCTCATCACCCTGGTGGATACGACCTTCTCATCACCCTGGTGGATACGACCTCATCACCCTGGTGGATACGACCTCATCATCACCCTGGTGGATACGACCTCGTCCTCACCCTGGTGGATACGACCTCGTCCTCACCCTGGTGGATACGACCTCCTCATCACCCTGGTGGATACGACCTTCTCATCACCCTGGTGGATACGACCTTCTCATCACCCTGGTGGATACGACCTCATCACCCTGGTGGATACGACCTCCTCATCACCCTGGTGGATACGACCTTCTCATCACCCTGGTGGATACGACCTTCTCATCACCCTGGTGGATACGACCTCATCACCCTGGTGGATACGACCTCATCACCCTGGTGGATACGACCTCCTCATCACCCTGGTGGATACGACCTCCTCATCACCCTGGTGGATACGACCTCCTCACTCTGGTGGATACGACCTCCTCATCACCCTGGTGGATACGACCTCCTCACTCTGGTGGATACGACCTCCTCATCACCCTGGTGGATACGACCTCCTCATCACCCTGGTGGATACGACCTCCTCATCACCCTGGTGGATACGACCTCCTCATCACCCTGGTGGATACGACCTCCTCTTCACTCTGGTGGATACGACCTCCTCACTCTGGTGGATACGACCTCCTCATCACCCTGGTGGATACGACCTCCTCACTCTGGTGGATACGACCTCCTCATCACCCTGGTGGATACGACCTCCTCACTCTGGTGGATACGACCTCCTCACTCTGGTGGATACGACCTCCTCACTCTGGTGGATACGACCTCCTCACTCTGGTGGATACGACCTCCTCACTCTGGTGGATACGACCTCCTCACTCTGGTGGATACGACCTCCTCACTCTGGTGGATACGACCTCCTCACTCTGGTGGATACGACCTCCTCACTCTGGTGGATACGACCTCCTCACTCTGGTGGATACGACCTCCTCACTCTGGTGGATACGACCTCCTCACTCTGGTGGATACGACCTCATCACCCTGGTGGATACGACCTCCTCATCACCCTGGCGGATACGACCTGATTTTCCGCAGACAAATTGATTACCTGTCCATTAGCACTTGTGGATGTCAATCAGGTGTGGGACAGCACCTCCCCTCCCCCCACACCCCCTCTCCCACACCTGAAGTGTCGGAGTGCGGTGAAGGTGGTAGAGGGACGGATCTATCCGTCCGGCGGCCCCCTCCCCTGTCCGTCCGTCCGTCCGTCGCCCGTCCGTCGCCCGTCCGCCAGGCCTCCCGGTAGCTCCAGTTATCTCCAATTTGCAGACTTCCTGTCACCGCTGCCACTCCGCGCTGGCCATCCCGTAGCGGACACCCACCCCTCGTCCGCCCACACCACGCCCACATACTACACCCCACAGCAGCCCGCCCACACCACGCCCACATACTACACCCCACAGCAGCCGACCCACACCACGCCCCACGTACTACACCCCACAGCAGCCCGCCCACACCACGCCCACATACGCTGGACGCTATGATGACAAGATGACAGCCAGGTTTGGAACTTCCGCCGGGTTTAAGCTCACAGGATAAGAGAAGGAAGATATTTTATACTTTCGCCCCCAACACCCACCCATGTACCCGCCTCCACACACCCCCACGTACCCGCACCCACACCCACGTACCCGCACCCACACCCACGTACCCGCCTCACACACACACAGACCGTCCCTCGACACACCTTTGTACCTGAGGCGCTACCTTAACCTGTTCTTGTGAAGTTTTCCTGTTGCTTCTTACCCCAGTTGCAAACTGGTGCTGGAGAAGTTTGCCCTCGAATGGCGCGCTTACCCGTCAAGATGCTCCCTTATCCGTCAAGATGCTCCCTTACCCTCAAGATGCTCCCTTACCCTCAAGATGCTCCCTTATCCTCAAGATGCCCCCTGACCCCTCAAGATGCTCCCTTACCCTCAAGACACTGGCTTACCCACAAGATGCTCCCTTACCCTCAAGATGCTCCCTTACCCTCAAGATGCTCCCTTATCCTCAAGATGCTCCCTGACCCCTCAAGATGCTCCCTTACCCTCAAGACACTGGCTTACCCTCAAGATGCTCCCTTACCCTCAAGATGCTCCCTTACCCTCAAGATGCTCCCTTATCCTCAAGATGCTCCCTGACCCCTCAAGATGCTCCCTTACCCTCAAGACACTGGCTTACCCTCAAGATGCTCCCTTACCCTCAAGATGCTCCCTTACCCTCAAGATGCTCCCTTATCCTCAAGATGCTCCCTGACCCCTCAAGATGCTCCCTTACCCCTCAAGATGCTCCCTTACCCTCAAGACACTGGCTTACCCTCAAGATGCTCCCTTACCCTCAAGATGCTCCCTTACCCTCAAGATGCTCCCTTACCCTCAAGATGCTCCCTTACCCTCATGATGCTCCCTTACCCCTCAAGATGCTCCCTTACCCTCATGATGTTCCCTTACCCTCAAGACACTGGCTTACCCTCATGATGCTCCCTTACCCTCAAGACACTGGCTTACCCTCATGATGCTCCCTTACCTTCAAGATGCTTGCCACTTCCTCCGACCCATCGTGGCTGCTCTAAGCCCACAATAACAGGAATTGGTCAATATATTGGAGGGTGAGGCAGGTCATGGCGGTAAAAGTGGGGGGTGGGACGGAAGTAGGGAATAGTAGGGTGGTGGTGGGAAGAATGATAAGGGTAAGTGTATGTTTGAGGGATCTGGGGTGTGGAGAGTTCTGCGCTCCTGTGCCAGGTAAGTCCACTACGGGCTCACCATAGCCCGTGCTACTTGCCCCGCTCCTGTGCCAGGTAAGTCCACTACGGGCTCACCATAGCCCGTGCTACTTGCCCCGCTCCTGTGCCAGGTAAGTCCACTACGGGCTCACCATAGCCCGTGCTACTTGCCCCGCTCCTGTGCCAGGTAAGTCCACTACGGGCTCACCATAGCCCGTGTTACTTGCCCCGCTCCTGTGCCAGGTAAGTCCACTACGGGCTCACCATAGCCCGTGCTACTTGCCCCGCTCCTGTGCCAGGTAAGTCCACTACGGGCTCACCATAGCCCGTGCTACTTGCCCCGCTCCTGTGCCAGGTAAGTCCACTACGGGCTCACCATAGCCCGTGCTACTTGCCCCGCTCCTGTGCCAGGTAAGTCCACTACGGGCTCACCATAGCCCGTGTTACTTGCCCCGCTCCTGTGCCAGGTAAGTCCACTACGGGCTCACCATAGCCCGTGCTACTTGCCCCGCTCCTGTGCCAGGTAAGTCCACTACGGGCTCACCATAGCCCGTGCTACTTGCCCCGCTCCTGTGCCAGGTAAGTCCACTACGGGCTCACCATAGCCCGTGCTACTTGCCCCGCTCCTGTGCCAGGTAAGTTACGGGCTCACCATAGCCCGTGCTACTTGCCCCGCTCCTGTGCTAGGTAAGTTACGGGATCACCATAGCCCGTGCTACTTGCCCCGCTCCTGTGCTAGGTAAGTTACGGGCTCACCATAGCCCGTGCTACTTGCCCCGCTCCTGTGCTAGGTAAGTTACGGGATCACCATAGCCCGTGCTACTTGGAACTTGTTTCGAGTAGCTGAATCTATAACAACATGTGGAGAGTAGTGGGGGTTGATGATAGAGGGGGGGTTGGGGGGAGGTTAGTGGTCATAATGGG